TGTACATCAGAAAATGCGCCTTGAGGCATGGAACATATGTACCAAATATGCCAAAGATGTCTACAAAATTATCTCAGTTATTATTAAAAAACTGATTATTTTTGAAAACTTTGCCACCCTGTATCTCAAAAGTTAAGGCGTTTAGGACATACGTCCATAGGAAGTTTTTTTCTTAAAATGGGTCTAAGAATTACCTCCTTAAATATTAGCATGTGTTTAAGGAACACCCTGTATAGGTACTCTAGCGTTTAAATTATAAATTTCGGTTTGGTACCAAACAGGATGTTTCCAATCGGGGATTTCTGATTTCCACCAAAATTCTTTCCACGATTGGGGAATGATTTTGAAGAAATAATAGAGACCAAGGATATGAATGAATATTACAGCAACTCTTAACTTGGTTATGCCAAACGCGTTATTCAATCAGTGTTAGTTCAGACATGGCTGTGATAGCAAGTGAATATAACGGTCAGCGTGGGCCATGTTTCATGGATGAATTTAGGAGACACGCTGATGGCTGGTCGGAAGAGAAAAGATCACTGCAGTGTTCTGCAGTACTAGAAGTTTTGTAGAACGATCAAGAAAGCAGCAGTAAAATGAGTACCAAAGAATTATGGAACCTCTCAATATGGACAATAAGTATGCCAGAGCCAATTCAAGAAGAGCTGTCAGCTTCCAAAAGATGTATTGGGACTATGTTCAAACCTCGAAAGAACTTGAGGAACATATTGAAGTGCAGACTTTCAACAACGGCTTGGACATCAAAACGCAGTATGCGCTGATAATAAATAAAAAAATTGGGTGTTCGATGAATTCAACAAAGGCCGTTTTTGCCTGGTCCTGATTGGCGAAAGTTCTACAGGTGATAAAGTTATCGAAGTGCTTTGAAAAATGGTAGTCGGTTGACGAGAAGTCTGGGGAGTATGGTGGATAAGGCTGAATTTTGACGCTAAATTCGTATAATTTTTGGACGGCTATTTGAGAAACTTACAGAAAGGCGTTGTCGTGTAGCAGGATCGGACCTCTCTCTTCTGCTTATCAGTGACGTCTGCTTCTGACGCAATTTTTGGTACATTACGCTAAACTTGTTTATTTTTTTTGGTTTCAGTATGGAGGTAGGTGACTTTATTAGTTCATTTTTGAAAGATAGAGAGCAACGTGTTTTGATAAAGGGTAGTCAGTCTGATAATATGAGTGTATGTCATGGAGCCCCGCAAGGTTCAATTCTCGCCCCGCTACACATCTGACTTCTCCAACGTCCTTAAGTTATTCAACATTCATACATATGCAGACGACACTAACTTGTATATACTACTCCGATGCCTGGGTGGCTTATTGATGTCCAACCACTGTCCTGAACGTCTTCTGTTGTCGTAGATTTGAACGATCTGCCGATCGTTCAAATCGTGGGGCATCCACTTTTCGAGCTTCTTGACTTTTCCAAACAATTAAATCCATCAAAAACTGCATGGAGGTTGACGCCCAGTTATTTCCCCATTCCACGTACCGTTTGTGATGTACCACATTCAAATTTCATTAATAATCAGTTGCCACGTGACTCAATAGGCAACTAAAAATTATTGTGCTTTCAAAGTTGCTCTGAAATATAGCAATAGAAAATTGATGAGATCTTTTTTCAGGATGAAATTGAAGCCAGTCGCAAAGAATCAAAAACGGAAAGCAGAGCCCTCTCCAGAATCAGTAGCGCTGTGTTCTCAAGTCAGTACTTAGAAAATGATACAGGAGCTTTCAGTTCGGAAACGCCGATGATGTTGGTTGGTTCGAGACTCTCCTTGACGTCCGACTATGACAACCGGCCACGAAGAAAGTCTAGCACCATACCTAAAGTTTCTTCCCATGCCAACGTGATAGACCATGCGCAGGATTCGGACTTGAAATCCAGGAAATCATCATTGATGCATCAGCACTCGATGAAAGAGCGGAAAGAATCATTAACCATCAACCATATTCAGGAAGAGGAGGAAGTCAAACCTCTTAAGAATCAAGAAGCCCAGCCAATGATTACCGATAGTGATGGTGATGATGAAGAGGTTGGTTTCTGGAAGGGCCTCTATTACGATTTCGATTTTAAGCTTCTGAAAGACCCGATTTACGTGAACCTTATGTTGGGGCTGACGATGACGAATTTTGTTGAACTGAACTTTGGACTGTTGACACCGATGGTCATGGCGGAATTTGATTTTGAGAAGAATGAGATCGCTACGTTCATGTCCTTGTTGGCGGGAACTGATATTCTGTGCAGATTTTTGGTTTCTTTCATCGCAGATAAAGTCAAAATTAGCAACAGAAACTTTTATCTGCTTGGTATCTTTGTGATGCTCGCAGGAAGAATGGGTAAGATATTAGTGTAATACATACGTAATCTTGCTTTCTTAGTACAATAAAGTATAGAGATTTGCAAATTGTTTGATGTTTCTGGGTTTATTAGCCGTTATCTGCATGTTTTTATACTTTGTCTACTACTGCGGCGGGCATTATTAAATGAAATGAAAAAAGTTCAGTCTCAACTTTTTAACATTCACTTTTTTTTCAGTTTTTATGCACACCTCGTACAGTCTCTTAGCAGCGGTTATCATTGGTAGTGGAAAAGCATTGAGGACGATATTTTTGATATTGGTCATCCCATCGCACGTGCCAATCGAGAGGCTTCCCGCCGCCTATGGTCTTCAGTACGCATTCAGTTTGCTTAAATTCCAAAAATCTACGGCCTTCAAACCTGTAAAATAGAGACACTGAAAATCTTGACCGCGAAAGCATCAACCAGTTTGTTTGTAAAAATATATACGATATTCCAAATATTACATTTGTCTACCTCACATTTATTGGTCTCCCTGTATATTGATAAATATTTCTGGAACAAAGCTTCCATTGAATTCCACAATATTTTTGTATCTCTTATCAACTATAATCCACCCACGTATGTTGATACACTCTGTATAGATAGATAAATAGATAATTAATTTGACTACTATATACAGTGTGACCCATTTTTAATGGAAACACCCCCCTAAAATTTGAAGTTGTAAACCGATTTT